ATCATAGAAGGAGGTTTGAGACCACCCAACAAGAGCTATCATTGATCAGAGCTACTGTTACTGCCAGAGACAGCCCCCTGAATCCGGGAGAAAGCAGGGAAGAAATACCCTGACCTCCATTCTCATGCCCTCTGATCTGTTGGTGCTTCCCATCAGCTGATCCCTCCCAAAGGCCAACCTGATAGGGAAGCCAATTGTCCACAAGGGTCTTTTCCCGTGACGTTCTGTCTGCCAGGTGGAGAACAGATGTGAGGAAGGGGAAGGAAGAATAACTTTGAGCAAGCCACTTCTTCTTTGTAAATGTCAGTGTGCTTATTGATGCTTACCATATTAATAGTGACCTTATAATTTTTACTTTCCACTTCCTATTTCCAAAAACCTCAATTTTACAAAGAATTTATAAGAATAGTGCCATGAACACACAGATATACTCTTCCCCCAGATTCACCAGCTGTTAACATTATGTTACTCTTTCCCTCTCTCTACTAACACAAACATACACACATATTTTTGTTGAGCCATTTGATTCATATTTGCCAGCATCCTGAGACTTTATTTCTAATCTATACTAATAAAAGAGAAAAATGCTAAGTGACCGTACCTTCACTACGCCCACAGCCAATCAGAGTGAGTATGAAAATTAACTCAACAAAGATTGCGGTTAATTTACATACGCTGAGAAAGGGAGGAGTGAAGACTGAAGACAGCATAGAAGGGAGAGGAGAGAAAGTGGAGAGCAAGGCAGCTGCTGAAGGGAAAGTGTGGGTGGTGCATGCGGCCTCGGAGGCGGTGCTAGGTGCGGTGGGGTGGGCTGGCGGGGTGGGGTGCACCGCAGTGGCTGCCATTGTGTGCTCCGCCCACCCCACCCCGCAGCAGCGGGAGAGGTGGGGGGACAGGAGAGGTGGCGGTGGTGGGAGGGAAGCCCGCCCTAAGTGTTGCAGGAATCTTCCTGCAATGGGCCTCTAGTACTTAAATAAATATCACCTAAAACCAAAAATGTTTTCTCGCATAACCCAAATACAATGATCATACTCAGGAAATTTACCATTAATACAATGCTATTATCAAATATAGTATAATTCAAATTTCTCCAAGTGTCTCAATATAATGTACTTTGTAGTTTTTGTTGTTGTTGTTGTTGTTTTTGTTTTTCAATCAAGGATCACACATCCAATTTTGTTTTGTGTCTTCTTAATCTCCTTTAAACTAAGATAATTTTTAAAGTTTTTTTTTCTTTTTAATCTTTTATAATATTAACATTTTTGAGGTATCAAAGCCCGATTCTGTGGTCAGTTTTCCTGCAGAAAGATCCCAATGTGGATTTATCCAATTACTTTTCATGATTAGATCTAGCTTAAACACTGCTGCAGTCACACTACAGAGGTGCAGTGTCCTCCTCAGTGCTTTGTGTCTGGAGGCACATCCTGTCAGAATGTTTCATCATGGGTGATCTTTGTTTGATTGCTAGGTTAAGACAATAGCTGCTATATTTTTTAAGAATATATTTTTATTGATTTCAGTGAAGAAGGGAGAGGGAGAGAGAGACAAAAACATTGATGATGGGAGAGAATCATTGATTGGCTACCTCTTGCATGCCCACTAGCTGCTAGATTTATCCTTTATTTTTCCCCCTTTGCAATTATCAAGTAGTCTATGGGATAAGATATGTGAACATATATTTTTCACCAACATTCTTTCACCCAGTGGTTTTCACAACCATTGAATTTTCTTGCTATGGCAGATATCCTATATAATAAAAGGCCAGCGACAATAATGGCATAACAATTGGAATGACCGATTGACCAGTTGCTATGAGGTGCATTGACCACTTCTCGGTCCCTGCCCACATACCACAGGCTCTGATCACTGGATGGCCAACAGGGAACCACAGGAGAATCAGGATGGCGGTGGGGTGGGTTTGAGGACTAGCAAGCAGGTGGAAGGCAGACATCTTGGTCCCTCCCCCTGGCTCTCAGGCTCTAGTAGCTTGGATAGCGAATGGGAAACCACGGGGACCTGGGGTGAGTGGTGGCAGGGCAGGATTGGGGACTGGTGAGCGGGCAAAAGATGGCCCTGATCATAAGTTAGGTCTAGGGACCCTACTCATGCACAATTTTGTGCACTGGGCCTCTAGTAGCTTCATAAAAATATAATTGGGGGACATTGCAAGACTTCTTTGAAAGTTGCTATTACAACCTTTATCTCTTTTTATGTTAAATGTCTTCATCCACTTATCTTTTCATTTAAAAAATGTTTATAGAGTGTGTTGGCCTTCTGAAGTTTTCATCAGTTGCTTCATTGTTGCCTACACTAGTGTCTTCGGATTGGATCTTTATCCTGTGTTCCAGATCCATATTAGCAATTGCTTTTATATCTCTCCATCTAGTCATCTACGGATACCTTAAACTCAAACGCCCAAATTGTGCTCATCTTATTCAATATATTCTTCTTGTGTTTTCTATTCCAGTAAATTGCACCTCTGTTTCCTCAGTCACCGAAATAAAAAGGACTCCTATTTATTGAGTGGCCAGCTGCCAAAATAGGTCTTTTATGCATGTTACATGCATTATCACATTTAATCCTGGCAATAACATTGAGAAGTAGTCACCATTTTCTGGAGGACATTGGGCTCTCAGCCCCAGATCATCAGCTAGCAAGTCTTTGTGCTGGGATTCAAATTTACTTCTCTTTGACTTTAAAGTCTTTGCGTCAGTGGGGGATTGGCTAAGTCTCTTTAACAATCAGTGCCTTGGTTTATAAATTGAGAAAAACAAAATTCCTACCTTGTAGTATTATTTTGGGACTTGAATTAGATTAAACTTGACAAAGAGTAGAATAATTCTTGGCAGCACCACATTACCTCCTAAACAAAGTCTCGTCTCATCTTAAACTTTTCTACCCACTCACTGCTTGTGGATCACTCTCCTTAGGGACCTTTTATTACTGCTGTCTTTGCCTTAGTTTAGACCACGAGTTGATAAACCATGGCCCATGGGCCAAACCCAGCCTCCACCTGTTTTAGTAAATTACATGTTTGTTTTTGTAAGTTGAGGTATAATTGACATTGCAAATAATGTTTTATTGGAACACAACAGTACTCACTCATTTGTATATTTTCTGTGGCTGCCTTCACCCTCCACAAGCAGAGTTAAGTGGTGGGAACAGCAATCAGAGAGCATGCAAAGTCTAATGTATTGATGGTCTGGCCCTTTACAGGAAAAGTTTGCCAATTCCTGGGGTATTGCAATAGTCTCCTCCCCAGATTTCCTGGTTATATCTTATACTTCATCAATATACCTCATCTTATACCTGAACCCATCCTCTCCAGTCCTCTTCCTGTGTGAGGGGGAATTTCTCAAAAATATGAGTTAAGTTATGCCAATTTGCTCCTTAAGATGCAATGGCTCTCACTCCTAAAAACACCAGCTTCCGGCTATGGCTGATCCCGGCATTGGCCCTGCCCTCTAGCCTTACTGCATGCTTTATGATCTTTCTTTTTGTCTGAAGATACACCCCTTGCCTTTGTCCTCAATAATAAGCTCAGGTTTTACTTTCTCCAAGAAGCCTTTCGTGGCTTTCATAGGCCAAACCAATGGCTCCTCTACAGCTTGTGCAGTACCTCAAATCCAGCACTGATCCACGTTCTCCCGACCACAGGGTGCGCTGTCTGCCCCTGTCGCTGCTGTGAGTTACTCTCAAGGGCAGGCACGTACATTTTTCACTTTTGTATCTCCAGTGTCCAGTCTGGGATCCAGCCCTTAGTAAATGCCCATTAGGTTGTCATTTCCTGCTGGCATTTCAGCTGGGATTTGAGGGCTCAAGGTGCTAAGGGAGGATAGCAAAAAGGCAGGTCAGGGGAGGAGCTGACACTTTAGCTAAATCCTAGAGCAGTGGTTGGCAAACAACGGCTCATGAGCCACATGCAGCTCTTTAGCCCCTTGAGTGTGGCTTTTCCACAAAATACCACGGCCTGGGTGAGTCTATTTTGAAGAAGTGGCATTAGAAGAAGTTTATGTTTAAAAAATTTGGCTCTCAAAAGAAATGTTAATCCTTGTACTGTTGAGATTTGGCTCTGTTGACTAATGAGTTTACAGACCACTGTCCTAGAGGATGGAAAGGAGGATAAACAAGATAAGAGGAGAAAAAAAGGCAGCGATGAGGTGTGTTGGGGTCAGGGAGAGGAAGGAGACACGTGAGGGAATGCTGGGAGACGGGGTAAAAAAGGAGGCATTGGATGCATACTCGAGAGCCCCCTCTGCTATGCTGAGGTGTGTACACAAAGGGCTGGGGCAGGCCACACCACCTTCCCCGTTGTCACTGTCTGAGCCTGTCAGCGCTCTGTGAGTCTCTTAAAGCATCAACTCTGTTTTCATCTTGACATCATTCCATCCTTAGTGCACACACTTTCTGGAACATCATGGATTTTCAATCAATATTTCATCATTGACATATGTGATAACGCCCTAGTTCTAAGGAAGGGTCCTCAGGGCTCAGAACTTATTCTCTTATAAGATGAACATGTGTCCTGTTTCATAAACTGAAGAACTTCTATCATAGTTAACTTTAGTTCCAGGATTTTCTGCTTGAAAAAAAATCCCATTAAAACAACGTCTGACCTCTTATGGAAGGTGTGAATCTCTGGGGCTTTTGCTGGACCTTCTCCAACTCTGGTTCCTCTTTGTGGAGTGGAGGCTTCCCAGGCACCCGAGCTCTTTCTAATTCGTAAAACCAGAGGCAGAGCAGTTTACTTTTTATCTGTGATTTTGGTATTTTATTTCAAAGAAAATGCTCCGTGGAGCTTGTAGAAATGAGAACTCCTATTTGGAAAGCAGGGATGGTGCCTCCCAGGTGGGATTGATGTCTCCAGACTGATTCCGCCCTTGGCAGCTGGCAGTTTGGGGGGTGGGGTATCGCTGAAATGTGTTGGATGCCAACGGATGCCTACACAATTGGCTACCACCGGGATCCAGGGGCACTCCTGCACTCCAGGAAATTTTCCAAGTCTCCACTGAGTTATCCTCAAAGCGAAGAAAAAAGCTTCGGTTTCAAAGTGAGTACATTTTCCATCTTCAGATTGGCTTGTTTTGTTCAGTTTTACTTTGAGTGTTTGAGGTTATCTGTTCGACGTAACAGCTAAACCCACCGCTTCCTTTCTCGTAAAACCAAAACAAAAAGGCTCCTCTACTTCAGATGCCCTCTACCTGTACTGAATGGGGAAGCCAGCTATATAAAGTCCGCGATGCTGTGTGGGTTCAAACACATTTCAAAGCTTCGGGATCTTGAAAGGTTTCGCTCTGCTTCCTGAAGGCCCGAGCTCCGCTCCCGCAGCGCCATGGCTGGCTTCGGATCCCAGGGGCGCGGGGCTCCGGGGCGCCTGCCCCCAAGGACCTGGCCCTGCACCGCGCTGCTCTCTCTCCTTTTCATCCCTGTCTTCTCCGAAGGTGAGTGCACACGCAGGTGGAGGAGGAAGTGTCTCTCCCGCCCGGCTTTCATTGCTTTCAGCAGTCAAGGGCAGTGATTTCTAGCAAAGCCAGAAGCTTCAGGTAACACTGCAACCTCCAGGCTCCGTGGTCCACGCTGGGCAGGGCCCAGCAGGCAGCAGCGCACAAGCGCAGGTGCAGCCCATCTTAGCGGGCTGGGTTGGTTTTTCAGGCACGTCGGTAAGACTGAAGGGAAATACTGCAAAGTTAATGGAGTGAGTTAAGAGAGAAAAGATACTTGCAGTCCTGGACACACATCTGAGCTTGGAATCAGGACAAGCTAGAATTTTTCTTTAAAAACAAAACAACACAATACACTAATTGGAACAAAATCATAGAAAGTTTCTTCTTCCCTTGCTTGACTCAATGTTTTAAGGTCCTCAAATTCAATTTGATAAACCAATTAGCCAGCTTGTGTAACATTTCAGCCTTCTTTACTACAGTCAAGATTTTAAGGTCCTCTTCATCAACTCTGTAAACTACTTAGCTAACTTAAAAGTGAAAGCAGTTTGAAATGGTAAAACAAAAAAAGGAATCAAGCCATCAGTCTTGCATAGGATACCTAAGTGCTGCCCTGAGCTACCTACCTGTGGACTTGAGAAGCAGATTCACCAGTTTTCAGACGAGATAAGGCTCTTTAGAGGCCAAAGCCAGGTTATTCGGTGTAGAATGAGGAGCATTCCCACTAAATTTCAATCTTATCTCTCGCTAGGCCCTCTCGCTAAGAAACCATGTAGTTTGCGTTGAGTCGAAAATGTTTAACGATTTAATTTTTACTGAATTAGAAATACTCATATGCCTTTTATTATTTCACATTTAAGATTAAGTACCCTTAGAAACAGTCAAATTTCTTTCTGAGGGCATTCATCTCAAACTGTCACTAAAATCTTCCCACGGTGGACACTGGGAAACAAAGTGACCAGACTTAGGAGTGATCATTGGGAGCTTGCCTGGCGTGGGCCAGGAAACTTGGTCTTCTTTCGGCTTAGAGTCAACTCACTAAGGATTACAGAGTGTCCATTTGGGCAGGATATAGTGGCCGATCTCAAGGCATAAGCTGGAGGAGGTGTTATTAGTGCACAAAAGTTTAATACAGAGCTTTATTACAGAACTTAATTTCTGTAATCAAGTTATGCAGTGCAGAAGGTGTTCAGAGGGCATCTCTGATAGATGAAGATAAGGGCTGAGGAGGGAGACTATTGTCTAATCAAGGCTGCTGGATTACCTATGGCGATGGCTGCTATTATATTGCTGTCTCTTCTGAGGACGGATGTCGTCCAGTACAAGTTCCTGGGGCAAAAGACTAGCACCTTCAAAACAGAGTAATGTATACACAGGAAGCGGTATCCAGGAATTTCAGACTGGAATCATAGAGTGGCATTAGATCATGAAGGCTATGAAATGTTATTTATATTGTTTGTTTTTTGTAGTAAGTGCTATGTAAGCATCAAAAAGTTTGGACAGAACCCTGGCCAGGGTGGCTCAGTTATTTGGGAATTGTTCTGTGCATGTACTGAAGGGTTGCTGGTTCAATTCCCAGTCAGGGCACTTGCCCGGGTTGAGAGATACCCAGTAGGAGGTGTGCAGGAGGCAGCTGATGGATGTTTCACTCTCTATCCCTCTCCTTTCCTCTCTCTCTTTCAAAAAATCACTACAAAATATTTTTTAAAAAGTTTGAGCAGAATGAGTGACATGATGGTTCAATCCTAGTGTTGGATGTCTCTTGTATGATTGGATAAAGAGCTGGCCTCTCTTATCCTGTAGAAACCAGAGAGAAAAAGAGCACTGGTGAGGATGCTCAAGTGAGGAGAGAGGGTGGCGGAAGGTGTGGTGGCAGTGGCAGGAAAAGCCCACAGAAGTTAACAGCAGGGATGCCTCAGCCTGGAGAGGAAACGACCCGGTGCCCTCTGCTCTGTGGCTTTCTTCATCTATGGCATCCCTCATTCTACGATAGTAATGTCAGGGAAGGGGGTGGCCGATACAGTGAGCCAACGTGCTGCTACTCATGGGTAATAGCGATATAGGGCCAGGGAAACGTAGGCAAATGTTTTTGAGGGATGCTTAAAGATATAAGGCAATATTCTGCACCTCAGCCTCCAACATTTTCTCTACTACTCATAGTTCCTGAACTATAGTTCCTCTAGTTGTATTTTAATCTTAGAATGCCAGAGTTGGAAGGCACTCTGATACTATCAAACCATTCCCCTTTTCCTACATGTGAGGGAAAATGAAGTCCACAGGGGAGGCATGACAAGTCATGTATTTCATGGAAGAGCCAGGTCTTCCGTTTGTCACATCCATGTTCTTTCTGGCACAACCAACTGCCTTAAAAAACACCTATTTTCCAATAAGAAACACCCTTTAAAAATACATATTTTTTATTAATTTCAGAGGGGAAGGGAAAGGGAGAGAGAGATAAAAAAAAAAAATCAATGATCAGAGAGAATCATTGACTGGCTGCCTCTTGCACGCCCCACACTGGGGATCAAGCCTGCAACCCAAGCATGTGCCCTTGACCGGAATGGGACCCTTCAGTTCCCGGGCCAACATAGGTACCCTGTCAGTCCGCAGTCCTCTATTCACTGAGCCAAACCAGCCAAGGCCAATAAGAAGCACCTTTGTGGGTAGCTGGAAGATAGAGGGAAAGGAGTGTGTATGGGGTGGGGGGAGGAATGGAAAAGGGAAGGGATAGCAGGTGGTGATGGACTGTTTTAAGAAGAGAATAACTGAAAGCTGATGGGAGGGTGCCTATCAAAGATAAATCTTCTCTGGCTTTTACCTGGGCCTGGTGGTGGGTGAAGACGGGTTCACAGAGTTTCTTTGGTTTTTCCATGTTAGGGATACAGGTGACCCAGCCTGCAGTGGTGCTGGCAAGCAGCCGAGGTGCAGCCAGCTTTGTGTGTGAGTATGAACCTGCAGGCAAAGCTGCCGAGGTCCGGGTGACAGTGCTGCGGGAGGTTGGCAGCCAGATGACCGAAGTCTGTGCCACAACGTACATGGTGGAGAAGGAGTTGACCTTCCTAGATGATTCCACCTGCATTGGTACTTCTAGTGGAAACAAAGTGAACCTCACCATCCAAGGGCTGACGGCCACGGACATGGGCCTCTACATCTGCAAGGTGGAGCTCCTGTACCCACCTCCCTACTATGTGGGCATGGGCAATGGAACCCAGATTTATGTCATTGGTGAGCAAAGCCATATCACTACCCTAGCACCTTTTGTACTTGCTGTCTCTTCTTTGCACGAAAATAGGTTCGCTCCTTAATGTCAGGTGGTTCATTTTATAGGATTGTGAAAATTCTCTTTAAGAGTTCTCTGGCATACTACCTGGTAGCCCTTTTGATAGCATGGGTGGCAAGCCAAACAGCATTCTGACTCTAAACTAAAATGGGTTGGAGAAGGTCTTTCCATTGGCAGGTTGGGGCACCCACTCTGGAATGATACCCATCATCCAGTTTACTCGTATGCCTCTGATATGACTCTCCTGGGGCAGTAACCCTGAGTAGTTGGACTTAATTGATGGGTAGCTCTATTATTAAAGTCTGGAAGCTCAAATTTCTTCATCTTTTCATCAATGGAAGTAAGGTCCTAATGTTTAAAGAGTGGCTCAGGGAGGCTCTGCTTTGCTTTCTGTTGCAGATCCAGAACCATGCCCGGATTCTGATTTCCTCCTCTGGATCCTTGCAGCAGTTAGTTCGGGGTTATTTTTTTACAGTTTCCTCATCACAGCTGTTTCTTTGAGCAAAATGGTGAGTGTGATGCTGACAACGCAGCAATTTGGATGGGATACCTTTAGTGATAGCAACTGACCAGATGACGCTTTTCGTTTTCTTGAGATGAAGCAATAAATGAGGAAGGCGAAGGACAGTGGTAAAGAGCACACTAGAACCCAAGGCATTGGCCTTTGAGGTTTCAGGATGAGTAATATTTTAGATGAGTGTATTTGACATCGAATGTTTGTGTGCTTCTGAAGAAGGTTTCAGTTTGAGTAACCATTTGAACAACACGGGGCAGTTGTTTTGCTCTTTATCTTCATGACAATGTGCTTTGGTTAATCACCCTGAAACCCAAGATTAAGTTGAGCAAAATGTTAGAGAGGACCATCCATTTGGATGAATCTCACTCTCTCTCCCTTACCATCCCTCTCCTTCATCAGGAAGCCATCTCTCTGTGAACCCAGCTTGTGCCTTCCTTGTCCACACTGTAGTTGTCCACATAACTCATCTCTAGGGCTCTCTATTTCCCAGACAGCTTAACTGGGAAACTTTGGGAAGTCTTGATCTCCCTTCCTTCCAGCCCAGCAAAAGTGAACCCCATTTTTTTATTTACCACAATTTGTTGGTAGAAGAGAAGGTATGGAATCTGGCCCCCCTCTCAGGATTTCTTTCTGACAGTCATTTTCAGCCATCTCTGCCTACGACTGGCTTTGTAAAAATCTTCTCCCTCATTTTCCTTCCTACTCCCTCCCTCCCTCTCTTCCTCCTTTACTCCCTCCCTCTCTCTCTCATTCTTTTTCTCTCCCTGCCTTCCTCTCTGCCTACTCTCCCCTTCCCCCCCATCCCCTTTCTCTCTCTCCTAAAATCCTCTTTCAACCTCTTCTGTTGCTGTTGTTTCTTCCTACCCCATTTGCTACAAATCACCTCACAGAATAGTTTGCTGAACCTGGAGCTTAATTTACTAGATGATAAAAACTGGGAACTAATGTGAACAGACAGAAAGTAATAAAAAGTGTATGAGGACTAGAAATGAGAAACACAGCTCTCAATCAGAACAACTAAAGTTCATTATCTTATCAAACTCGTCCCCCCACAGACAACATCCAATGACTTATCATAGACATTTGGGGTGTTTTTTTCAGAAACTTTCTCAAAATCTTTTTCTTCTATCTTTCAGTCAGGGGAAATAATTGCTCTTTTGCATTCATAGCACAGAGTTATTTATCTAAACTGAGTTTTAATGGCTCAATCAAGAACATTTCCCCGTGGCTTATAATTCTTTATGCTGTGAACATTCATTTTTCAACAGAGGAGGAACCCCATAGTTGCTGAATCCTATTATGGTTAGAAGGTACTTCTGTATTCCTCAAGAATAACTATCATTTCTTGTTCTGTTTGGCAGCTAAAGAAAAGAAGTCCTCTTACTACAGGGGTCTATGTGAAAATGCCCCCCACCGAGCCAGAATGTGAAAAGCAATTTCAGCCGTATTTTATTCCCATCAATTGAGAGACCATTACGAAGAGGAAGACTATTTTTCTGATTTCTAAGTGCTGAGGCAATTCCACCTTTTTGCTATCCAGTTATTTTCATTTATTTGTGTACTTTGTGTACTCTTTAATGCAAAGCTGGATACAGAACCCACATTAGGTATACTACAATTTACAGCAAAGGAGCAGAAAAACGGAGCCAGGATATTTCTGTCACATCAGATCCAATTTTAGTAAAAGCATCACTTGGGAGCAATATGCGGATGCAGCATTATGGTGTGGAATCAAGGAAGTAAGTTAAGGGATGCTATAGTCCTGGGAAAGCAAAAGATTTCCATGTGAGACGTTTCTAGCTGAAATGATATTTTCAAGTTAAGTTTTTATGCTGTGGTATTTTTCCTAACAGGTGTATAATTAAATGAATAGTTTAAGAATACTCACATGGCTATATTTGAGCCAGTGATTCCAAGGGTTGTATTGTACCAATATATATTATTTTTTTATTTGCTAGTAATGTGCATGGGGGCCACACGTGCTTTTGTGTACTTGCTGATAGTTTGAATATAAACACTATATGGCAGTGTCTTCCCACCGTGAGTTCAGGGGAAGCTTGGTGAAGGGGCTCAGGACACTAATACACCAGACAGAATACAAGATCACCTACTAACTAGCCTGGAAACTGGATACGGTCATAGCAGATTCTTGCAGACATGTTGGGCTGAATTGGTGTTGACATGAGCTTTTATGCCAGTTCCTTTGAATGGTTTTCAAGGAAACCAGAGTTTACTTGATAGAACACCACTGTCAAGAAAATGGCTCATTCCAGGAGTCATATGGGTATGAGCTTCAAGGGAGCTCCAGTTATACACACGGTTAATGCCATGGACAGAACAAAGAAGCAGGTAGCAGAATGGGGTGCATTAAGGGTTCTGAAAAGTAACACTGTTGGTGTTTTTTAACTCAATATTTTCCATGAAAATGCAACAACATGTATAATATTTTTAATTAAATAAAATCTGTGGTGGTCGTTTTTCAGAGTTGTTCTTATTTTCCTTGTATTTGAGTATTATTTTTGAATTTGCTTTTGGTTGATTCATTCAGCAGTAGGTGGGGCCTCCAATATTAGACATACTGGGAACAAAATGAAAAAAAAAAATTCCAAAGGGCAAATGCTTCCAGAATTAGCTATCTATTAGCCCCGTGGTCAGCAAACTGTAGCTCGTGAGCCACATGTGGCTCTTTGGCCCCTTGAGTGTAGCTCTTCGACAAAATTCCATGGCCTGGGCAAGTCTATTTTGAAGAAGTGTCATTAGAAGAAATTTAAGTTTTAAAAATTTCACTCTCAGAAGAAATTTCAATCGTTGTGCTGTTGAGATTTGGCTCTGTTGACTAATGAGTTTGCTGACCACTGTACCAGCCCATTACCTATAAGCCATTCTTGGAATAATTCAGCCCTGGACCTTTTGATTTCTTCACAACTATTTGAAATATTAAGTGCGCTACCACAGGTATAGCAGTTCTTGATAAATCACACTGCACTCTCTTTAGCACAGGGTTTTCACCTCTTCCTTCTTACCCACAGCTTTCTCAACTGGGCTGCCCATTACAGTTGTCATGGCAACTCCAGTGTTGTGAACCATGCCCCTTGCAGCCACTTTGATCTGCTTCCATGACAAACAGAACTTTTCCTTGAAGCTTCCAAATGAACTATTTCACAAATCTGGGGAAAACATACCTGTGTTACTATCAGCTCGCAGACCTGGCCCACTGAGCCTTCTGTGATTCTTGGTTAACCAATTGTAGCCTCGGCCTGCTTGGTTTTCACACAAGGTTTCTCATTCTTGACCTCCACATCCTGTTTTTGTCTTGTGAAATGTTTCTCAGTGTGGCCAGGGACCACCAGTAACTGAACAAACTTGCTCAAAATACTGGTTCAAATGTTAACTTCAGATGTACTGAATCAGAAACTTGGGCAATGGAGCTAGAAATTTGAGAATCACTGCTTAGACATCCCTTTCTCTCTCTCTCTCTCTCTCTCTCTCTCTCTCTCTCTCTCTCTCTCTCTCTCTCTCTCTCTCTCTCTCTCTCTCCAACAAGTGTTAACAAACAAATGAGACTGCACATAGTGAGCATTCCATACATTCTATAAAGATTGTTAAATAAAAATGAATAGATCTTTCAATATATGGTAATAGCAGTTACCTAGAATGAGCTCCTACTCTGTTGAGGTTAACTCTAGCTCTCTTGGCTTTTGGTTGGAAGCCATAAAGAAACACACAATGTAGGAGCCTCCAATAGATAGTATGATATCATTTCTGTTCCTCCAAATGTCTTTAGAGAGATCATTCTTTTCATAGTTGATGGCCAATCCAAATGACAGAGAGGGCCTCTCAGGTATATTTCAATCACCATTAGATGATGGATTACTTATTTAAGCTTAGTATATCCAATACTATTACTTGAAATTCTATTAGCTATTCATTGAGTTAAGCATTATCCTCTTCATTCAGTCTCAAAAAAGTAAAGTGTTCTTTATCTCAAAAAATTTCCCTATGGCAGAAGGATGGGCAAGAAAGAGTATGTCCTGAGAATCCATTGAAAGAGAAGAAATAAAATATGGGGTGAGGGCATCTGGTCCCTAGATGAAAGACCCTTCTAATTCCCAGTTTGTTTGAAAGAATATATTACAGGTCCTTTGCTTGCAATAGTCAGAGATTCATTGCCCCCAAAATCATTGCCCCCAACTGTTTCATGGCATTCAAACCTTCACCACTATCTCTATCTCTGTGATCAGGGTTCTGCAAAAACACAAAGATTCTGCTCATCTACGTGGGGCTTGGTCTACAATGGAGGGGGAGTCTGGGCACTATAACCTTTCTCACTGGAACTGCTGGTCCAAGGTAGGACTGTGGATGACAAGGGAAGCAGGATAGAGCTACCCGGGTCAGCCCCAACTCCTATCAGTTTCCAACCTATACCTCTGCTCATCTTCCTTTTTCTTTCAACATGGGACTCCCATTTCTGCTACTTCTTGTTTCCACATATTTTACCCCCAAATATCTTTACCCCTTATTTTTATATCCACTAGGACTCATCTCAGGTGCTGCCTTCTCCATTATTTTTGCTGGTATTTCAAGCCCACATGGATTTCTCCCCTTTTGTATTGCAATTATATTTGGTTTCATCTTTAATTTCAAATGTGCATGTCTTTTCTCCCCAGCGTCAGGGGAGATACCTCCAAAATAAGAATCATTAGAGCTTTAGGCACACAATAGATGCTCAAGTAAATTTCTTGGAGACTTGGGGAGCTAGGATATCAGGGATTATGGGAAGGATAACTGTCTTTTCTTTTTTTCTTTCTTTTTTTTCAGAACATGGCTGTGTTTTCTTAGGTGGCTCAGCCTAATATTTTTTTCCCTTTTCCCTTTGACCAGCAGAACTAAGTGCAGGTCAATCTATCTCTTGGCTTAAACCTTTAAGACTCTGGAATGTGACCTCCAGCTGGCTACCCTGTCCCCACGTTCTATCCTTTATCTCAATCCAGAAATCCAGTTTCTTCCAATCTTGTGTGTGTGTGTGTGTGTGTGTGTGTGTGTGTGTGTAAAGGCAAAAATGCTCATTTTTACTCTCTCTGTCTGTTTTGAACTCCAGGGTTGTTACTAAAACTGACTATATTTTTTATAAAAAGTCTGAACTTTCTTCCATCTCCACAGTTGCTACACACTTAATTTACTTGGAACTGAACTTGCAAAATGTTTCTGTCACTGAGCTGTTAATTGAAGCAAAGCCAGTTTGAGAATTTATAAATTTAAGTTACTCTTTAGGGAGGTCTCAAAGCAAAGAAGAAATATGACTTTCCATGGAAAGTTATTTCTATTGCTTCATTTTTTTTGGCACCTGATTAGGCTTCTTAAAGGCTTCGTTTTATTTTATATAAAAGAGATTTATTCAGGTGCCTCGACCTGGGAGAATGGTGGACACCCATCTCAAAAACCATCCTCCTACTCTCCCCGCCGCCTCCTTCCTGCTCACAGGTGGTTCTTCTAGGATAGGAAGGGATGGCTGTTTTTCCTATTCAATTATCTTATTAACTTTTGTCATACTAGGGCTTTGTCCATTCATCTTTGTAGCTTTTGGCATACTTGGTATAAGAACATTTTCTTGCAACATCTTGGCCAATGCAGGAAACTCCCCAGTGTTCCCTGATTGTCCACGGTAGGACCTGGCATCAGGAAGCCTGGAGATGCCACAACCCTTCAACTCACCCCCATGTGAGACATGCTGCTTGAACATCAAAGGGAGCCAAGTGGAGTTTTGGAGGCACCCTAAAGGCTGGCCCACCCCTCCCAAGTACAAACTTGCAAAATGTCTGTACAGGGCTAATGGTTCCTGCAAAGGCCGGAAGCTATTAATCTTTTAAAAAATTTTCTTAGAATCAAAAATGAGACAAGCAATCACTCATCTAGGGAAATGGTGAACTACATAGACTGATGAACAAGAACAGACCGAGAGATAAGGAGCCATGGGTCAGACTGTTGGACCTCAAAGGGAGGGTGGGGATAAAAGGGAGAGATCAACCAAAGGACTTGTGTGCATACATATGAGCCTAACCAGTGGTCAAGGACAATAGCGGGGTGGGGACATGAGTCGGGGGTAGGGTGGGAGATTGGAATGGGGGGTTGAGGACAAATATGTGATACCTTAATCAATAAAGAAATTAATAAAAAAATAAAAAAATAAAGAGCAGAAAAAAAAGAAAAATTTTCTTAGAAGAATTCAACCTGCTCTGGTCTATATGGCAAGAAGTCTGACATTCAGCCTTTTCTTGGAAATGGTTACTTTCACGGGTATACTCTCTTATAGGTGTTCTTTCATTTACTGTGCACAGTAATTGTCTGGAGTATTTGGGAGATATACAGATTGAGTTGCCTCAGACACAGAGCTTTTCGTTAGTAAGATTGGAGGCAGGGCCTGGAGGTTTTTAATTCTCCAATGAGTCTTTGGATCATATTTTCAGAAGCCCTGGTCTAACCCAGGAGCCTGCCATCATAGATGATTAGGACTAGAGAGGGAAG